GCCATAAAAAAATAAAAAATTAGCCAGGCGTAGTGGCACACACCTGTAGTTCTAGCTACTCGAGAGGTTGAGGCAGGAGAAGAACCGCCTGAGCCCAAAGGTGGCAGCTGCAGTGAGCCATGATGTTGCCTCTGCCAGGACGCCAGAGTGAGACCCCGACTTTAAAAAAAAGAAGAAGAAGAAGACAAAAGAAAGAAATTAGAAAAAGCAAAGCAAACTAGACCTAAAGGTAAAAAAAGTAAGAAAATAAAGATTAAAGCAGAGGTAAACAAAACAGAGACTAGGAAAACAATAGAGAGAATCAATATAGCTAAAGTTGCTTTTGAAGAAATCAACAAAATGGACCAACTGCCAGTCAGATTGATCAAGAGAAGAGAAAACACGAAGACGACTGAAATCAGGAATGAAAATGGGACTTTACTAACAACCTTACAAAAATAAAAAGGACATGCAAGGATACTATGAACAATTGTACACAGCAAATTAGATAAACTAGATGGAATGGATAAATCCCTAGAAAGACACAAACGACAAAAATTGACTCAAGAAGAAACAGGAAATCTGAACAGACCTATTAAAACTAAAGAGAGCCGGGCTCGGTGGCTCAGCCTGTAATCCCGCGCTTTGGGAGGCTGAGGTGAGTGGATTGCCTGAGCCCGCGGGTTTGAGACCAGCCCGGGCAACTTGGCAAGACCTCATCTCTACAATAAATCAAAAATTAGCCGGGCGTGGTAGCGCGCGCCTGTAGTTGGAGCTACTTGGCAGGCTGAGGCGGAAAGATCGCTGGAGCCCAGCAGGTTGAGGCTGCGGTGGCCGGAAGCGGCCACTGCACTCTAGTCTGAGCGACAGAGTGAGACTCCAACTCAAAAAAATAAAAAATAAAATTAACATGGAATTGCAAAGGAACCCAAATAGCCAAAACAATCTTGAAAAAGAACAAAGTTAGAAGACTTTCACTTCCTGATTTCAGAACTTACTACAAAGCTACAATAATCAACACAAGGTGGCCCTGGCATCGGTATAAACCTATAGATCAATGGAATAGAATTAAGAAACCAGAAATAAACCTACACATTCATGAGCAATTGATTTTCAGTAAGGGAGCCAACACCATTCAAGGGGAAAAGAATAGTCTTTACAACAAATGGTGCTGGGATAACCCATATCAAAATGCAAAAGAATAAAAGTGTACTCTTAAGCCGGGCTCGGTGGCTCAGCCTGTAATCCCGCGCCTTTGGGAGGCTGAGGTGAGTGGATTGCCTGAACCTGCGGATTCAAGACCTGCCTGGGCAACTTGGCAAGACCTCATCTCTACAATAAATCAAAAATCAGCCGGGCTTGGTAGTGTGCGCCTGTAATTCCGGCTACTCGGAAGGCTGAGGCGGAAGGATTGCCGGAGCCCAGCAGGTCAAGGCTGTGGTGGCCGGGAGCGGCCACTGCACTCCAGTCTGGGTGACCGAGTGAGACTCCAACTGAAAAAAAAAAAAAAGTGTACTCTTATCTCACACTATATATACAAAACTTAACTCACAGTTACTCAAAGACCTAAACATAAGTGCTAAAACTATAAACATAAGAGGAAAAAAAAATTTTTTTTTTCGAGTCAGAGTCTCACTCTGTGGCCCAGGTTGGAGTGTAGTGGCTCAGGCTGGTCTCGAATCCATGGGCTTAAGCAATCCTCTCATCTCCGCCTCCCAAAGTGCTGGAATTACAGGCTGAGCCACCAAGCCCAGCTGAGAAAAATTTTATGATATTAGATTTGGCATTGATTTCTTGGATATGACACAAAACGCACAAGCAACAAAAGAAAAATGGATAAACTGGACTTCAAAATTTAAAACGTTTGTATATTAAAAAATACTATAAAGAAAGTGAAAAGACAATCTACAGAATAGGAGAAAATATCTGTAAATCACATATCAGAAAAGGGTCTAGTATTCAGAATATTTAAATAACCATTACAAGTGAACATCAGAAAGATAAACAACTTAATTAAAAAAAAAAAAACAGGCAAAGGATTAGAATAGACATCTCTCCAAAGAACATACACAAATGGTCAATAAGCAACAAAAAGATGCTCGACATCATCATTAGGGAAATGCACACCAAAACCACAATGAGGCCAGGTGTGGTGGCTCACACCTATAATCCCAGCACTTTGGGAGGATGAGGTGAGAGGATTGTGTGAGTTCACAGGTTCGAGACCAGCCCGGGCAATTTGGCAAGACCTCACCTCTACAATAAATCAAAAAATTAACCGGGCGTGGTGGTGCACACCTGTAGTCCCAGCTACTTGGAAGGCTGAGGTGGAAGGATCACCTAAGTCCAGCAGGTGGAGACTGCGGTGCCTGTGAGTGTGACGCTGCACTCCAGCCTGGGCAACATAGTGAGACTCCAACTCAAAAACCCACAATGAGGTGCCACTTAACAACAACCAGGAAGGATACAATAATAAAAGACAAAAAATAACAAGTGTTGGCAAGATTATGGCGAAATTGGAATCCTTACACACTGCTGGCTGAAACATAAAATGGTGCAGCCACTGTGGAAAAGTTTGGCAGACTTTCAAAAAATTAAACACAAAATTATCATGACTCAGCAATTCCATTCTTAGGTATCTACCGAAGAGAACTGAAAACAGGCACTGAAACTTAAGAGTAGCTGTTCATAACAGCCAAGAAGTAGAAACAACCCAAACATCTACCAGCTGATAAATGAATAAACAAAATGTAGTAGATCCATGTAATGAAATATTATTCAGCCATCAAAAGGAGTGAAGGACCGATACAGGCTACTTGTGGATAAAACTTGAAAGCATTATACTAAGAAGCCAGTCAAAAAAGCCTACATATTATATGATTCCATTTATAGAAACTGTCCAGAACAGGCAAACTCAGAGACAGAAAGCATTAGAAGTTCCCAGGGGCTGGGGAGAAGGAGGGCTGGGGAGTGACTGCTTAATAGGTAGAGTTTCCTTTTTTGTGTAATTAAAATACTCTGAAAAAAATTTTTTTTTTTTTGAGTTGGAGTCTCACTCTGTCGCCCAGACTGGCGTGCAGTGGCCGCTCCCGGCCACCGCAGCTTTAACCTGCTGGGCTCCGGCAATCCTTCCACCTCAGCCTTCCAAGCAGCTGGAACTACAGGTGCGCGCTACCACGCCCAGCTAATTTTATTTATTGTGAAGATGAGGTCTCGCCAAGTTGCCCAGGCGGGTCTCGATCCTGCGGCCTCAGGCAATCCACTCACCTCAGCCTCCCAAAGGCGTGGGATTACAGGCTGAGCCACCGAGCCCGGCTGAAATACTCTGAAATTAGACAGCACTAATGGTTATAAACATTGTCAATATTCTCAAAACTACTGAGTTATATACATTAAAATGGTAAATCTGGTGTTATGTAAATTTCATCTCAAGAAAAAAAAGAACCACTAAGTCTCGCCAAGTTGCCCGGGCTGGTCTTGAACCGGTGGGTTCAGGCAATCCTCTCGCCTCGGTCTCCCAAAGTGCTAGGATTACAAGTTGAGCCACCCTGCCTGGCCTGAAGATATTGTTTAAAGCTCCCCAATAATTCTTTTTCGAGTTGGAGTCTCACTCTTGTCACCCAGGCTGGAGTGCAGTGGCATGCAGTGGCATGCAGTGGCATGCACTCCACCACAGCCTCAGCCTGCTGGGCTTAGGCAATCCTTCTGCCTCAGCCTTCCAAGTAGCTAGAACTACAGATGCCCACCACATCCCTCTAGTTTTTGTGATTTACTGTAGAGACGAGGTCTCACCAAGTTGCTCAGGCTGGTCTCAAACCCCCTGGCTCAGGCAATCCTCTTACCTCGGCCTCCCAAAGTGCTGGGATTACAGGCTCACCCAGCTGCTCCCCAATAATCATAATGTGTAGTCAGTTTGGAGAACTTCTGCTTGAGTTAATAAATTCCTTCTGGGCTCGGTGGCTCAACCTGCAATCCCGCGCCTTTGGGAGGCTGAGGTGAGTGGATTGCCTGAGCCCGCGGGTTCGAGACCCGCCTGGGCAGCGAGACCTCATCTCTACAATAAATCAAAAAATCAGCTAGGCGTGGTAGTGCATGCCTGTAATTCCGGTTACTCAGAAGGCTGAGGCGGAAGGATCGCCGGAGCCCAGCAGGTTGAGGCTGTGGTGGCCGGAAGCGGCCACTGTACTCCAGTCTGGGCGACAGAGTGAGACGCCAACTCAAAAAATAAATAAATAAATTCCTCCAGTGAGTTCGAAATTCACTCATTCACTGATATTTACTGAAAGCCTACTATGTGCAGGTCCTAGAAGGTATTGGGGTTGAAAATAAAAAGTCCTGGTCAGGCACAGTGGCTCATGCCTGTAATCTAATCCCAGCGCTTTGGGAGGTAGAGGTGACAGGATTGCCTGAGCCCACAGGTTCGAGACCAACCTGGGCAACTTGGTGAGACTTTGTCTCTACAATAAATCAAAAAAATAGCCAGGCAAGGTGGCGCACACCTATAGTTTTAGCTACTTGGAAGGCTGAGGCAGAAGGATCACCTGATTCCAGCAGGCTGAGGCTGCAGTGGCCGTGAGTGTGCCACTGTACTCCAGCCTTGGCAACAAAGTGAGACTCCGACTCAAAAAAATAGAGTCCCTTCCCTCATAGCCCGTACTGGAGGAGGAGAAAGAAAAACAACATAAAATACAATTTGACTTCCAAAAACTTCCAATGAACTTGACTTCCCCCTTTCTGTATTCATATCCTCTTGTTGCTAAATCCATTATCACTGCACCAGCTAATCATTAATGTAACACAGGTGTCCTAACTTGAGAAAGCCAGTGCCACTGGGAGGGGTCCACCTGGCACCAGGTTCACAACCCAGCAGGCTTCCTTGGAGGGCTTGCACATGGAGATTACCTTTCCAGACTTTAACAGGAACAAGTGAAAACTCATTATGTTTTCAATACCAAAAAGTAGTAACAGACACACCAGTTCTTGAGCACAAGTATGTGCTGTAAAAACAGAGATCAGCTTACCTGGGCAAAAGCCAAGTTCAGCACTGTTTCAGAGGCCAAGTACTGTAACCGGTACTCCTTGGAGAGGGCCAGAGCCTGCAGGAGCACAGGCAGTGCGATGGTAGGGGAGGACGACCGCCAGTACAACTCTGCCACCGACAGCAGGACACTGACCACAGAGAGGAAAACATGGGGTGAGAATACCCACTACCGCGCCTTTGGGAGACGCACGAGAGACCCTTACCTAATCACCATTTCTGTATTCTTCATTTTCTGACAATAAATCAACAATTTTTGTAAAAGTTTGTGTGCTTCTGACATTTGGTTCTGCGCTTGTAATACAACTGCTTTTCTGAAACAGAATCAAGATAAACATAGTGGTTATGTCAATGTCTTGCAAATGTTTTAACTAAAGCCACATAGAGGGCAAGAATCTTTATTTCCAGCTGGGCACAGTGGCCCCACGCCTGTAATCTCGGCACTTTGGGAGGCTGAGGCAAGAGGACTGCCCGAGCCCACAGGTTCGAGATCAGCCTGGGCAACATGGCGAGACCTCGTCTCTACAATACATCAAAAAATTAGCTGGGTGTGGTGGCGCATGCCTGTAGTCCAGCTACTTGGAAGGTTGAGGTGGAAGGATGGCCTAAGTCCAGCAGGTTGAGGCTACAGTGGCTGTGAACATGCTACTGCACTCTAACCTGGGTGACAGAGTGAGACTTCAACTACAAAAAAAAAAAGGGCATTTTTCTAAGCTAAAATAAATAAATTAATACACAAAACAAATAAAAACAAAGTCATTCAAAATTACTTTATCCTGGGATGGGAGTTTTCACAGTATCTTACCTATAAACACCCTCTATGCTATTAAGAGCTGTGATTCCTGTGACAAGTGAATCAGCCAGATGATATTTGCCATCATTCATTGCTCTGTCAAACTGTATCTTTTGATCACACAGCATCCATAACTATTAAGGAAAAAAATCAATTAAGTACGAAATGGCAAATGTTCATCTTATTATCAATGGAGATATAAAGTATTTTGGCTTGCTTAGCAAATCTTACAATTCACATGCATTCTTTTCTTTTTAAGATTAAAAAATTAAGTATTTCAATTATGTGGAAAAAACAGAGAATAAAATAACAGACAGATGTACGCCAACCATCAACTTTGCTAACTTACATTTTGCTTTATTTACTTCTGATACTATTTGATACCATTGAGATCCTTCACAAATTCCATTTCCCTCTCTCTTTTTCTAAAGTAGACACTCAATTTGACATTTATCAATCTCAATTTTTATATTTTTACAACATATATACTGTTCTTAAGCAATATATAGTATGCACTTGTTTTTAAATTTTGTACAAACAAGTAATATCACAGTTGTAGGCATCCTTTCACAAGTTCCTTTTTAGTTCAATATTATTTTTTGGAGTGGAGTCTCTAAAATATTTCACTTTACATTATATTAAAAAAAATTCCTATCAGAAATAAATCCAGTGCTTTGAAAAAGGCAGGTTACCTGAGCATGCTGACTATTAGGTGGAAATCGTTCCTTCAAGTGTTTTAATACTTCAGAAGCTGCAGTGAAACAACCCTAAAATAGACACGATTTGATTAGCACAACCTGTGTTGAAACCACACCACACATAGGATGTCGACATGATTCACCGGTTCCTTTTTTTTTTTAATCTCACTTTGTCACCCAGAATGGAATGCAGTGGCTCATTCACAGCTCACTGCAACCTCAAACTCCTGGACTCAAGCAGTCCTCCCTCTTCGGCCTCCCAAGTAGCTGAGACTAAGGCGCATACCATGCTTGGCTAAGTTTTTTGGTTTTTTTGTATGTAGAGATAATGAGGTCTTGCTGTGTTACCCAGGCTGGTCTCCTGGCCTTAAGCAATCCTCCTACCTTGGCCTCCAAATGCTGGGATTACAGGCACGAGCCACCATGCCTATCTGATTAACCAGTTCTTTTTTTTTTTTTTGAATCAGAGTGTTATTGTCTCCCAGACTGGAGTACAGTGGCATGCTCACAGACACGGCAGCCTTGACCTGCTAGGCTCAGGCAATTCTTCTGCCTCAGCCTTCCAAAAAGTAGCTGAAACCACAGGCACGTGCCACCATACCATGCCTGGCTAATTTTTTGATTTATTGTAGAGACGAAGTCTTGCCAAGTTGCCCGGGCTGATCTCGAATCCCTGGGCTCAGGCAATCCTCTCATATCAGTCTCCCAAAGTGCTGGGATGACAGGCATGAGCCACTGCACCCGGCTTTAACCAGTTTTTTGTTTTTTTGTTTTTGAGTCAGAGTCTCACTCTGTTGCCCAGGCTGGAGTGCAGTGGCACACTCACAGCCACCCCAGCGTCAATGATCAGGGCTCAGGTGATTCTTCCACCTCATCCTTCCAAGTAGCTGGAACTACAGGTGCGTGCTACCATGCCTGGCTAATATTTTGATACATTGTAGAGACAAGGTCTCACCAAATTGCCCAGGATGGTCTTGAACCCCTGGGCTCAGGCAATCCTCTTGCCTCAGCCTCCCAAAGTGCTGAGATTATAGGCTTGAGCCACCACGCCCACCCTTTAATCAGTTCTTAAAGCAGCAACCTGAAAGGCACTGACAATTTCAAAGGGTCATTTTTAAGGTTCTAAAAATTTTTTATTTTTTAGGCTGGGCACTGTCTCACAGAGTGAGACCTCAATTCAAAAAAAAATTTTAAAAAGCAACTTTTTTTCTACCATTCACAACTCAAAGAGAACTATAGGGAAGCTACGGACAGTAAGAAAATCCTCCTTCAGCTGGGCTCGGTGGCTCAGCCTGTAATCCTGCGCCTTTGGGAGGCTGAGGTGAG